CTTAGACATTACAGTATGGATGGTAAGACTCCAGCAGAAAGATATTGGCAAGTGTTAGAGGAAAAGAGAAAATTTTATCCGAAAGTGTTATGGAAATCTCCAGAAGAAGGACAGTGGAAGGTCCAGTGGATTTACTGACAGGGGAAGAGGGTGTGCTTGTGTGTTTACAGGAGATGGACAAACCGTGTGGGTGCCCTCAAGGTGCGTGCGACGAAGGAACCCAGAGTGGCCAACCATAGGCATGGTCCCTCCGGTACAAGCCATGAGTCAGCCGAGCTGAGTGCAAAGACAGAGAAGGCCCACCAGAGTCATGACACGGTTCTAATGCTATGTTTTCTGTAAAATCGGATTAACTGCCATTTGGAGAATGAGAGCTGCCCAGCCAGGCCTTACATTCTTTCAATTAATACATAAACAAAAAGGAGGATATGCAGGGAGCAGAAGGCCCATGGGAAGTGACCAACTCAGTATTCTGCTGGAGGCTATATGAGCAAACAGCAAACTGTTTATCATGAATGCAGGCTGTGGACAAACTCACACTCCCCTGCCACAAAAATGTTTGCTGAGGGCCATCACTCCCTGGCACCAGGCTCCTTGACATTATCTGCTGAGAAAATTAACGCCTATTGTTCAAAGGATACAGTCTAGCAAGCCTGCTGTGAACCAAATGGCCAACTGACAATTATCCGACAATCACATCCACTTCTCGCTATCTCTTTTGTCTAATAAATACGGAGGGCTGTGTAAAGCTCAGGGCCCTTGTCCAGTAGAGGCAAGGTGCCCCCTGACCCCTTCTTCCAAATATACTCTTTTCTCTCCTGTATTTTATTACCACGTTGGCCCCCTTTGTTCAGTCCAGTAGGTCCGCGACATAGTGGCACCCCCAACAGCAGCCGAATTGGGCAGTCAACATGAATGGAACAGAGAAAAGTGTAGGACTTTGACATGGAATAAGATTCAAATCTCAACCCTGCTACTGACTGTCTATGCAATCTTGTCTATGTTGTTTTACTTCTCAGAATTACAGTTTCCTGAGGCTCCGAGGAAGATGATGGTGATACGTGCTTCTGAAACTGCCCCTATAAACTTTATATATGTAGGCCAGGCACAGTGGCTCATGCCTGTAATCCCAGCACTTTCGGAGGCTGAGGCTGATAGATCACGTAAGGTCAGGAGTTCACAACCAGCCTGACCAATTGGTGAAACTTTCTCTCTACTAAAAATACAAAAATTAGCTGGGCATGGTGGCATGTGCCAGTAGTTCTAGCTACTCGGGAGGCTGAGACAGGAGAATTGCTTGAACCAGGGAGGTGGAGGTTGCAGTGAGCTGAGATCATGACACTGCATCCCAGCCTGGGAGACAGAGAGAGACTCCATCTCGAAAAATACATAAAAGTAATCGGGGAAGGAGGGAAGGAGAAACAAAAACAAACCAAGCTGGCAGCATGTTCAGCATTCATCATTAAGTCGGCAAGCTCTCCAAACTGCTTCCTCACAGTTTAGTGCTTATTGTTCTAGAATCACTAGATCCAGTTACAAGATTATAGTTTCTCTTAACTGCTCTTTAAATAACAACTCAAACATTATCAAACGTTGTTTTCACTTTGAGATATTCCTTCAGGTCCTGCATACAGATGAAACTACTGATGCAGCTGACCTGAAGGACTCCCCAAGGGGCTACCTCACCAACATATAGTTTCCACTTTGTGATGATTTTATCCCCCTTGTCCCAGCCAACCAGCAACCCCAATTTTCCAGCCCCTCAGTCTCCACAATCCTCTTAAAGCCCCAGGCCAGAACTTCTTGGGAGATAGATTTGAGGGTTTCCTTCCACTTCCTTGTTGGGTGCCCTGTGATCATTAAACTCTTTCTTTGCTGTATCCCGCCTGTCTTAGTGTAATTGGTCTATTACTATGCAGTGGGCATACGAACCTGTTGGTCTCATAACATAACCCTTCCTTGGGTCATCATGAGGACTAGAGATACTGGATACCAAGTGCTACCCTAGTGCAAGGTTGCATCTCCTCAGTGCTGTGCAGAGAGGATAATCAATCTCTTTTCAAATGCAGTGTCCCATCTGTATTCAGGAATTCCTACAATTATGAGAAAAATATTACTCTTTGTTGCTATCATTATTTCTCCAGCATTATCCCACCTGACTAATGAAATGGAAGTTGAAGAGAAAAAAGTGGGGGACAAGTCTGTCTGTTTTTGTTCATTCATTTGTTAGTTCGTTTTTGAAACAGAGTCTTGCTCTGTGGCCCAAGCTGGAGTGCAGTGACATGACCTTGCCTCACTGCAACATCTACCTCCTGTGTTCAAGCGATTCTCCAGCCTCAGCCTCCTGAGGAGCTGGGATTACAGGTGCGTGCCACCATGCTCAGCTAATTTTTGTATTTTTAGTCAAGATGGGGTTTCACCATATTGGCCAGGCTGGTCTCGAACTCCTGACATCAAGTGATCTGCCTGCCTCGGCCTCCCAAAGTGCTGGGATTATAGGCATGAGCAACCGCCCCCGACTAAGTCTGTCTGTGTTTAAAGTACAAGAAAAATCCAGAAGAAATTTCCACCAAACGGATAACAATGACTTTTGCTTTTTATATTGTACACATCTGTATTGTCTGAATTATTTGATAAAAAGCATTTTAAATTACTTGTTTGTTATTATTTTATTGTTTTAAGTGAACTGTTCCCTCCACAGTTAGATCAGAACTCTCTCTGATCTAACTGAATTGAATAGAGTTTTGTCTCAGGGAAAAGCAAAGAAAAATCTTTTTCCTTGATCCTTTATTCCATATTCTGACTCTGTGTGTGATTATGTAACAGTCATGATTAACTTGATCACCATGACTTGACAAACTGCAGCCTTTAAGACTGACTGAGTCAATAATTGGGAAAGAGATTTTATTTGTTCTGGTGCTGCCAAGTATTATCGACATCTTCTATTTAATGACAAGTGAGTAAATATGTGAGCCACTCTGTGTTTCTGGCACTTTTTTTCTGTTATTCTTACTTTACAAAGACTTTTTATGCCTGCAATTTTATTAACACCTCTAATATCCAAAAGAAACAGAGTGATTCTATAACAAGATATTTTAAAGAAAGAAAAAAGACAAGCAGAATGAGATATGTAACCCAATACTGTTTCTAGAAATTAAAAGTATATGCCCACCATGCACATTATGTAAGAACATGGAAAAAAAATCTCTATGCACATCAAAGAAATCACAGTAGCTACCTATAGTAGGAGAAGAAAAGTAGGGAATGGAGTTATTTTGTTTTTGTTTTTTCTTTTTTTGAGGCTGGATCTCACTTAGACACCCAGGCTAGAGTGCAGTGCCACGATCGCAGCTCACTGCAGCCTCCACCTCCCAGGTTCAAGCTATGTTGCCCAGGCAAGTCTTGAATGCTTGGCCTCAAGTGGTCCTTTTGCCTTGGATTCCCAAAGTGCTAGGATTACAGGCATGAGCCAAAGAACCCAGCCTTGGAATGGAATTTTGTTTTGTTTTATTTTAAGTTACATAAATTAATCAGAGAGAGAGAGTGAGAAAGAAAGAATTTGGCAGCCCAATGGGGATAAAGTGCAACAAACTCTGATGAGTATGAATTCAACTCTCAGTATTTTGTTTTTAGGGTCCATCCAAGTCGCTTTATGTACATCGATCCCAGTGCTTCTGATGCTGCATACATCCCATGGTATGCATCCACCACACTTGGTCCACACACTCTGTTATGGGCTGGACTGTGTCTTCCCCAATTTCATGTGTTGAAGTCCCCAAGTCCCAGTACTCACAATGTAACTGTATTTGGAGATAGGGCCTCTCAAGAAGTAATTAAGGTTAAATGAGGCCATATTAGTGAGCCCTAATCCATTTGACAGTATTTGAAGACAAGGCCTTGGAAGATGTGATTAAGCTAAACTGAGGCTGACAAGTGGGGCTCTAATCCAATATGACAGGTACCCTCACAAGGAGAGACATTGAGCCGGGTGTGGTGGTGGGCCTGTAATCCCAGCTTCTAGGGAGGCTGAAGGAGGATCACTTGAGCCTAGGAGTTCAAGGCTGCAATGAGCTGTGATACCCACCACTGCACTCCAGCCTGGGTGACAGAGTGAGACCTCAAAATAATTAAAATTAAGTAAATAAATTAAAGACATTGAATCTTCATAATGACTGGGAGTTAGGCATTGTTCTTATCCCCATCTTGCTGATGGCTGAACTGAGTGAGGTAAAGAGAATGTAAGTAAGTCTTTGAAAGCTACACAGCTAGTAAGTGGCAGGTGCAGGCTTCGAGCCTGCAGCCGTCTAATACCAACCACTTAGCTTCACGTTCAACCCCTGCCTGATACCGCCTCTCCTTGCAGAGGCCGGGTCAAGGCCTGATGTTTGCTAGGATGTGACTTGTGGGGTGCCTCAGTGGCAAGAACGCTCACTCCTGCCTGGGGGCGTCTGGCAAGGGTTCCTAGAGGTGACCTTGAATTGGCTCCTGGAAGGCGAGTCCAGGAGTCCCCAACCCCCCTACACACATAAACACATGCGCACACGCACACACACACATGCACACACACGCGCGTGCACATGCACTTAGGCACACACAGAAACGCGCACACACACACAAACACACTCAGATTCCCTGACACTTGTTTTCCTCCTGAAACCTTTTCGGGGCGGGGCTCTCACCCTCCAGAAGCAGCCCCGCCTCGCAGTGGCTCCACCCTCTCCTGGGACCTGTCATAAAGCTGTCCTCCTGCGCCCGGCCGTGCAGCCCCAGCCGCCTTCCCCAGCAGTGGAACCCACCGGCTCCTGTAAGGAGACCTCCTGTTTTCTTTCCTTCGCTTTTCTCCCTCCCTTAACCCCCTTGCTTTCTTCTTGCCAAGTTTCTAGACGCCCCAGTGAAGGAGGTTTGCGCTTCGCCCTCCTCCCCTTACGCCGAAATGACCGCTGGGTCTTGCACTCGGAGGATCTTGGGAGCCCAAGTCTCGGCGCCTCCCGGCCCTGCACTTCCTTGGAGAGCTTGGAGACCCGCGCGGGAGGGAATAGGAAAGCTTGGTTACAATCCGGGACACCCGGTAGCTGCCTGCACCCGGGAAGGGGCAGGCCGGGGAACTTGCGGGACTGCACAACTTGGGGAGGGTAGAAGAAGAAAGATCCGGGTGGGGATTTGGGAAGGGGCACGCAGGCGGCGGTGGGAGCAAAGGGCGAGCGGGCAAAGGCCGGTCGCCCCGCCAGGCCCCCTCTTTGGGCGGGCAAGACCTTCCCGGGACCTCGCCCCTCTGGGGCCAGACCCTTTCCAGGAGGGCTTCTGGACTTGTAGCGAGTTTGGAATGCCCAGCGGTTGCCTTCTAGGGAAAAGGGACAAAGATGTGTGGACATTTAAAAAGTTGAACTCATAGAAATAACAACTAGCATGATGGTTGCCAGAGGCTGGGAGCGGATTCCGGGGTGAATGGGAGCTTGTTGGCCAAAGGGTACAAAGTTCAGAGACTAGAGGAGTAGATTCTGAGATCTGTTGCATTGCAGGGTGACTAGCGCCAAAAATATGTATTTCAAAATAAGAGCAAACTTAAAATGTCTCACCATAAAAATCATACTTAGGGTTGGGCGCGGTGGCTCACGCCTGTAATCCCGGCACTTTAGGAGGTCGAGGCGGGTGGATCATTCCAGCTCAGGGGTTCTAGACCAGTCTGGCCAACATGGGGAAACCCCGTCTCTACTAAAAATACAAAAATTAACCGCGCGTGGTGGCGGGCGCCTGTAATCCCAGCTACTCAGGAGGCTGAGACAGGAGAATCCCTTGAACCCGGGAGGCGGAGGTTGCACTGAGCTGAGATGGCGCCATTGCACTCCAGCCTGGGCGACAGAGCGAGACTCCGTCAACAACAACAACAACAAAAAGTCTTAATTTAAAAAAAAAGAAGAAGAAGAAGAAAGAACAACCCCTGGCTGCAGATCGGACCGCCCCCCTAGCTCCCGGCCACCCGCGGCACCGGTGGGGGAGCTGGGGAGGTCAGCGGCAGCTCCAGAACGTTTGTAACTGGATTGTTTGTAGCGGATGCACACGCGGGAAGGCGCGGGTCCCAAGTGATTCGGCCGAGTTCAGTCCAAGCAGAACGTCCTGAACCCCCAGCACTGGGCAGCCTTCATCATCCTCGCTTGCTTTGGTGTAGAGTTTAAGCGCAAAATCGGTTTGGTGTGGAGTTTAAACTCAAATCCCTTCTGGGCCAAAGAAAACTCGCGCCCGATGGCTGAGCCCAAGTGGCTCACACCTGGAATCCCAGCACTTTGGGAGGCCGAGGCTAGCTGTAGCGGATCGCGTAGGCAACACAGTGAGGCTCCTCTCTACAAGAAAGAGAGAGAAAAAAGTATTAAAAAAACAAAACAAAACAAACAAAGGCACCTAAAAATGGGGCGAAGCAGCGGCGCCCCCCGGGGGTTTTCGGGAGTTCTGAGACTGCCTTGAAATGCCTGGCTCTTTCCTTTGGAAAGAGGTGCATGGACTTCTTTCTATGGGGTTCTTTGTGTTTGATGCTTTTTCTTAGAATTCACTCCATGTGAGATGAGAAACGGAATGGAATATTTGCACTCCCCGTAACTGTTCAGTGCCATAAAGAAACTCTAGCCTAGCAGTGGCTGGGAAGAATTTCTTTGTTCATTTATATTTTTTCCTTGTCTTGAAGATTTCTTTAAACTTCAGTTTCCTCATCCCTACACTGGCAATGATACTAATGTCTATCTTATAGGGAAGTTATAAGGATAAAATGAGGTAATCTGTATGAAGTGCTTAGCACAGCACCAGAAACATAGTAAATATTAAATGAATGTGATTGGCGTTATCTGATAATGATGGGATTTGAGGATATTGTAGTTGTGCTATCTGGGCTCAGTTTGATGGCGAGGGAACTGTTAGAATGCAGTCATTTCATGGCAGTTGACTGCATATTTACTGTGTTCTAGGAGCTTCAGGATGGTTTGTACTAAGATATGGACCCTGAAGAAGCACTTTGTTGGCCATCCTACTAAGAGTGACTTTGAGTTGAAGACAGCTGAGTTACCACCCTTAAAAAATGGAGGTAAGTCATACTAAAAATATTTCAGAGTTGGCAGGGACTGTATCAGTTAGCTTTTGCTGCATAACAAACTACCCCAAAGTCTAGTGACTTTAAGCAACAATGGTTTATTAGTCCACAATTCTTTGGGTTGGCAGTCTGGGCTGAGTTAAGCTGGGTGGTTCTTCTTAGGTCTCATCTGGGATAAATGGTGAATTTAGGATGGGCCTTGCTCACATGTCTGCTGGTTAGCAGGCTTTCTGTTGGGTTGCATGCCTTAGTTCTCATCTATGTGGCCTTTCTAGTAGGCTAGTTTAAGCTCTGTTCCTATAGTGGTCCCATAGATCTAGAGCAGCAGGAGTTGGCAAGCTCCAATGTGCAAGCATTTTTTTTTTTTTTTTTTTT